TATCCTGACTTCTTTGGTTTATTATTAATTATTATTGGAATAATTATAGCGGCATTGGGAGCAAATGTATCTTCTAAAGTAAACTCTTTTTTCACTATATTAAACATTTGCATTGTTATACTCGTTATATGTGCTGGTTTAGATTTTGTGAATGTCGGCAATTAGGAAGTGGAAGGAGGTTTCGTCCCATTTGGCATTTCGGGCATTATTTCTGGAGCTGCAACGTGTTTCGTCGCTTACGTGGGTTTTGAAGTTATTACTGCATCGGCCGAAGAAGCAAAAAATCCAGCTAAAAGTATCCCAATTGCAATATGTATATCTTTAGTAGTTGTAGCTGCAGCATATATTGCTGCATCGACAGTGGTCACATTGATGGTACCATATTATGAAATCGTACCTGAAGCAGCATTTGTGGATGCTTTCCGTCATGTAGGGGTGAAGTGGCTTATGTACGTGGTGGGAGTCGGATCATTGATCGGCATGACTGCTACTTTTTTAACTGTTATCTTTGTGCTTCCACGTATCGTATTTGCAATGGCTAGAGATGGTCTTCTTTTTGAAGTGTTGGCTGAAGTTAATTCACATACTCATGTACCTGTAGTTGCCACTGTTACATTTGGTATTTTAGCAGGACTCCTTACTGTTGTATTTGATTTGAATTCATTAGTTGAGTTTTCATCAATTGGTACTCTCTCAGCCTACACCATTGTAGCTGCTGGTGTACTTGTGCTACGATATGAACCAGAAAAGGCATTGATAATTGTCGACAAACATGTAAATCCAGAAACAAATAAAATTGATTTGAAGAAAAAGAATGAAACATCCCCGTTAAAAAGGATAAGCTCTCAGTCAAATCATGGTGGCGAAGTCAGAGAATCGTTTAATGGCTGCAGGACTTTACGAAATGCTACACCTGGTACTATACCAGCTTTTGCAGTATTTATAATGTCCATATTCATGTTTGCATTAGCTGCTGTTATTGTATTCTGTGGTGACGCACTAGCAGAAGAAAGGTCATGGGTTATTGTGATTGTGGTTGTATTTGGATCGGTCGTGTTACTTTGTTTTTTTGTGTTATGCATACACTACCAGAATACGAGTATTGTGACATTCAAGGTATGCGCTTTTCAGTTTTCTTGCATTATTTTCATTAGTGCTTGTATGATAGGATACTTCTTAAAAATATTTGTATTAAATTATAATATATAAATTGATTTAAATTGTATTTTATCAACTACTATCTTTCACGTAACCATTTATTGTTTAACGTATGTACACACAATGTTGATGTGTTTCAGATGCCGTTGGTTCCATTAATACCATCTCTGAGTATATTTTGTAACGCTATGCTTATGATGAATCTATCTTATATGACATGGGTTAGATTTGGTGTCTGGATAACACTAGGTAATTGATAAATATTGAAAAGTAACGAAATCATATAATATGTTCACAATGCGATTTGTCTCGTAATGCAGACTGAGTATTATTATATCCGATATACTAATATAACTCCCATCACATTCCCATAATAGTTACACATTTTGAAATGATGAGTAAATTAATGACAACGTGATTCTCTGCAACATGAATTGTGTAATTACATATAGTGACCAGTTCGTGACACGAAGTAGCTTGGTATTATAGACAAATAAGAAATGCAATAGTCATATTATACAACAACTACGTTAACGAGGTCTAATTAAGAAGCGACACTTTCACCTTAATTTCCCAAAACAGATATTGCGTAACAATTATGTTGATACTTTAGGTATGATGCTGTATTTCTGTTATGGAATTCGTCACAGCAAATTGGCCGTGTCACTAGAAGAAGAAAACAATCATCTACACCGTTATTATATAATGCCTGCCGAGTCACCATGCATTACAAGTAGTTCCATAGACTTGTGGCAACCACAGAGTGTGACAACTCCTAATAATTATGGAAGCGTGTCCAGGATGAAGAGGAATCAAATTTTAAAATTAAGATGAAACAATTATGAATACAACTTGGATGTGTTATTATGTGTCTTAACGTAATTTTTACATTTCCCGAGATGTATGCAAGTTCGAGCACAACGATGCATATCATTATTCTATTTCAACCATGGAATGGTATACAATTGGGCAGAAGTAGTCTAGAAGTCATCAATCATTGTTTTAATGTCCACGAGCATTTGTAATCATAGATATTTTAGTAGCAGGGCATT